CCCACCGCTTTCTTTCATCTACACAATATTGATAATTTCATAGACAGGCTGCTTCAAGTCTTTCTGTTAGTGAGTCCTACGGCACCTTGCTGTGAAGGCACAACGATTATTTACCACCGTGTTGTGTGTAGAACCGGAAGCTAGATTACGCACCGAGTAACCTTGATAAATATATATATAATAACGCACCAAATCAGGTTTCTCGCGTGCAACTTTGCTAATTTTGGGACGCTGATTCCGAATATGAAATCAGTTTTTACCTACGATAATTATTTTTAAAATTTTGAGTCCTGAGTTTAGTTCTGAGCGGCGGCAAATTTTAAAGTAAATCTACATCACAGCGCGTCTCCCTCAAGTGTGACCGTGATCGCAGGGAAAATATCAAGCAGCGCTTGATTTCTCGACCGAGTCTTCAAACCATCGTTCAATCGTCCAAATTTAGTACAATTTTGTGGTTACACCTAACGATTTATCGTCCAATTTTTGTACAATTTATCGTAACGTGTAACCGGGTCTTCAGAGATCTAGTACAATATATGAACAAATGGCCTATGAAATGTTCCTACCTTACAGCCCTTGACGATCTCTTCCAAAGTAAGTAATGGAAGTTCAATGGAGCAGAGAATATATATATATATATAATAATAATAATGTCGCCCCCTTTCTGGAAATCTCATTGGCTGAAACAGCAGTAAAGCTGGCAACTAATTTCGCTATAAATCATATTATAGTTACAGACGCGGTGAATTTAAATTATCTCCCTCCCTCTGATAAACACGTGTCATGATAGGGGGTCAAGTACATTTATTGTCATGTTATGCAAAGAGCCTGCAAAGAGCTAAGGCGACGGGATTAGAGCATTAGCACAAAATATCTGTTCGCAACACAGTGCTTGCAACAGGTGACCCCTAATCTATGCTCTCCTCTATTGACTGTCTTCTCGGGCAGAAAGAGTGTGTGGGCTCACTGTTTGTCGATTTTTAACGCTCTTAATTGATATATTTTTTAACGTTTGGTTCATTTTTTTTTGGTTGTCTTTTTTGTGGGTTTTTAAAAAAAGAGTCTTGAAGTTTTTTTTGGGTTTTTTTTGTGAGAGATACAAGGCTTTGAACATCTTGCTATCACTGGAAAAATAGAAGGCAGACGAGGCAGGGGGCAGAACCAGAGCAACTTATTTAGAAAACATGAACAGATGGGTGTTGGGGAAACACCCGAATAACATTGGTTTTTGAGAGCATCAAAGCGAAGAAATGAATGGAGAACCATGCTCACCGATGTTTGTTCGATCAGATCTGACACTTTTTTGATGAAGAGATAAGACAGAGATAAATCCATTTCAAAGAAGGTGCACCCCTCGCTGTGAGGTTCCAAGGGGCTATCACATATTAGACACCATCCTCAGTTAAAAAACCCCCCGCACAAAACACACACACA